AAGCAAACATCCTAAACAAATACTTTGCATCAGCATTCTCAGCCCCAGGAGACAAAGACATATTTCTTAATTTGAACCAAGTAGACAACATAGAAGATTTGTAGTACAAGAAAATGGAATTCAAAAACTATTAGCCAACACCAAACCAAATAAAGCGTCTGGACCGGATGGTATTCCAGCTAGATTACTCAAAGAACTAAGCTAGCCCCAGTGTTCAAAATACTCTTTCAGACATCGCTTAACCAGGGCAGAGTACCAAAGGACTGGAAAGAAGCTAATGTCACCCCCCCTATTTAAAAAAGGAGAAAAATCTGACCCAGGAAACTACGGACCAGTATCACTTACCAGCATCACATGTAAAATCCTAGAACACATAATATGTAGCAACATCATAAACCACTTAGACAAACATAATGTCCTCACCCCATACCAACATGGCTTTAGGAAATATAGATCATGTGAAACACAACTAATAGGACTAATTGATGATTTTTCAAAAGGTTTAGATAATAGTGAACAAATAGATGCTATTTTACTAGATTTTTCCAAGGCTTTTGACAAAGTTCACCACCATAGTTTGCTTAAAAAATTAAAATATTTCGGCATTAATGGTCCACTGCATCAGTGGATTATAGATTTTCTGATAGGGAGAGAACAAACTGTAATAATAAATGGCTCTAAATCAACACTAATAACAGTAAACTCAGGTGTACCTCAAGGAACAGTCTTGGGTCCACTACTATTTTTAATTTACATCAATGATTTACCAAATTGCATTAGTTCAGGAACAAAAGTCAGATTATTTGCAGATGATTGCATAATATATAGAACAATAAAAACAACACAATACACAGATATTTTACAAAGAAAATGAGATGAATTACAGAAATGGGAATCAAATTGGAGCATGTCTTTCCACCCAGAAAAATGTCAGTTGTTAAGAGCAACAAAAAAACTAAAACAAATTAATTCCACTTATCTTATTCATGGCAAACCAGTAACACAGACTAAAAACGCAAAATACCTAGGTGATATAATAAATGAAAAACTGTCATGGAATCCACATATTGATGAAACTATAAAAAAAATCAAAACATCCAACAAAGCATTAGGGTTTATTAAAAGAAATTTCTATAAATCAAATAAGAACATAAAACTAAAATGTTATTTAACCTTGGTTTGGCCAATAATAGAATATGCATCCACCGTTTGGGATCCCTCAACTCAAGAAAACATTAAGAAACTGGAACAAACACAAAATAGAGCAGTGAGATTCATAACAAACGAATATTCACATTTGACTAGAGTAACACCATTAGTAAAATCATTAAATTTAGAAAGCCTTCAGGACAGAAGACTCAAAAGTAAAGTAGCAATTATACATAAAACACTGAACCATAATCTTCAAATACAAAAACAAAACTTAATAAAATACTCTGAAAGACACAAAAATAAAGGCACATTCCTTGTCTCCTAAGCTAGGACAAATTTGTACAAATACTCCTTCTTCCCTAGTGCTATTAGAGCATGGAATGGGTTGCCTGAGCTAGCCAGAAAAACCAGTGACTTGGCAGAATTTAAGTCATTGGTTAATATGCATGACGCGTAGGACGTAATCATCTTCTTTTTTGAAGTAACGTCTGTATTATATAAGATATGGTAGTGTTTTTTAGTTATTTGGTTTATTTTTGTGTACACATATTTTTATTGATTCATTTTTCCTCGTGTAAATAAAGTGTATATATATATATATATATATATATGTTTGCTATATAAATTTAGTTGGTTGTTCTCTTTTAGTTAGCTAGATTAGTTAGTTTAGTTTAAGTCGTGCTGTCTGTTTGCTTAGGCGACTCTAGCACCCTTGGTTTCAGACTGAGGTGCACAGATTGGACCCACCAAGTAGCGCTACCATCTGCCTACTGTCTGAGATAAAAATTCTGTTTAGCAGAAAAAGCCCAGTGCCTCCTGACCTGCTAACATAACCAAAAAAACATTTATGTGTTGTTGCAGGCAAGAACAATGTCGGCATCAGAGTGTTTGGGCAGGGTTGGCCTTCGGCATAGGCGAGCTAGGCAGCCGCCTTGAGCCTCCGATTATCTAAGGCCGGCCCTGGACATTCAGGGAAAGCAGACAAAACATTATCGTACAATGCATGAAGGCTACAGTCCTTTTTAAAAGTTTTTTTTTGTTACTTTTAATAACTGGCATTTTTCTGTGTGGAAAGACAAGCTCCAATTTGATTCCCATTTCTGTAATTCTTCTAATTCTTTTTGTAAAATTTCAGAATCTTGTGTGTTTTTTTAGCGGCCCCCGAAAGGGCAAAAGACGTTTTTAGTTTTGTGTGAAATGTGTGTCCGTCCCGTTTAGATCTCGTAAACTAGAAAAGATAGTGAAAATCCGACATCATAACATTTTAGTCCATTCAAAGCTCTGATGCAATGCAAATCTAGTTTTTAAATCACTTATGCAAGCAGTTTTTTCATAAAAATACACCACTTTTACAACTATTCACTATTAATAGTAACAAACACTGTGGCTCTTCAGTATGGGAGATGACTATTTGCCATATCTTTAACACATTTATGCAAATGGTTTATGATTTTTTGTCAAAAAATTATTATTTTTTTTACATTTGTTTTGCTAAGTTTTAAGTAAGTTCTGTCATGCTAACTACTGCATTTACACGAAAAACAGTTTCTTTTTTTTTAAAGAGAAAAAATCTATTTAGTATGCATGTAAGTTGGACAAAATATAAAACAACAATTATTAAGTAATTTTTGATATTATCACATGAACTGCAGCCACGGTTTCTACATTTAGAACACCTAACTATAGGAATTTTTTTTACGAAATTTTTTTTTGTTTAAGAATTAGAAATAGACCATTTACAAAGCAATTAGATATTCATTATTAGACATCAGTTAGGCCACATTTAGGTTAGGTTCACATTTAACTTCACATTCACCTATCCTTTGGGATGCTGGACCGCTGAGAACCACATAAGATCTGTCAACCCTCTTTCTCCATTCTTCTCTGTCATTTGTATTTGATCAAATTTAATTCTGATGTTCTTTCTGAAAATACTGATACCTGCCTTTTTACCTGCCTGGGTGGACCATTTCGGTTGCCGATTTTGAGTTTGTGTTTCCACACAAACTGTCTTTGTAACCTTGTTTATTATCATTATTGGTGTTGATTTGGAGCCATTTGTTATTACAGTTTGTTCTATTCCTATTAGGAATTCCAAAATCCATTTATGTAATGAACCATTAATGCCAAAGTATTTTTTTTTAAGCATGCTTAGGTCGTGAACTTTGTCAAATGCCTCAGAAAAGTCAAAATTGCATTTATTTGCTAACTATTAACTAATCCCTATAAAAATCATCAATTAATTTGAGTTTCACATGACCTATATTTCCTAAAACCATGTGGGTATGGAGTGAGGACTTATGTTTATCCAAGTAATTTATGATGTTGCTACATATTAGGTGTTCTGTTATTTTACAAATGATACTGGAAAGTGATACTGTCTGTAGTTTCCTGGATCAGATGTTTCTCCTTTTTTAAATAGGGGAGTGACATACGCTTCTTTCCAGTACCCTGACATGATTTAGTGATGCCAAGGAAAAGTATTTTGAACCATGGTGCTAGCTCGGGACATAGTTCTTTTCTCAATCTACCTGGAATACCATCAGGTCCAGAAGCTTTATTTGATTTTATGCTAGCTAATAGTTTTTGGATCATTTTTCTTGTACATTATAATTCCCATGTTTTCTACTTGATTTAAATTTATTAATATGTCTTCTTTTGGGCTGAGAATGATGATTGAAAACATTTCTTAAGAATGTTAAATTTCATTTTATTATCGTTATGTTTTAAGTTATATTTGCCTTTTTATGATGCTATGTCCTCCTGTTGTTTCCATTTTCTTAAATTTAATGTATGACCATACATATGTTTTGTTATCTTCAGATATTACTTTATTTATGTATTCGCTCTGTAGCTGTCTGCTAATATTTTGGGTTAGGTGTTTTATTTTAATGTAGGCTACTTTTATAGACTCTTTCTGCCTTAGTTTCTTTAAATTTTTAAAATAAGCTTTCTTTCTGTTTGCAAAGTTTCTTATTAAACCAGCATTTATTTATTTGTTTGATGAGTATTTAGTTGGTATTTGATTTTCTATAATGTTTTTATTTATAATGTTGGTGTGCAGATCCCCATTTGGGCTTCAGCATGCCCGCTGCATCTTAGCATAGGTAGTAGGCCACTAAGAAAAAATTGTTCGCCAGAGTTTTTGGACATATTTGTGTCAAGTTAGAACTACAGCGTAGACCTCCATATGAAAGTGATCTATTATTTCTACATATTATAAAATTGTTACCAGCACACATTGGAAGCCTCTGAGACATTTTTGGCACTATTCTTAAGGTTATTACTGTTATTGATAGATATCAAAATATATGTGGCAGGTGGCCAAAGATAGATGTCATGTAACAGATGGCTAATGAGAGATGTCCTAAACTTAAGAAGACACTTAACAGAATGCTAAAGATAATTTTAAGTGTCCTGAAATTCAGATGACGTGACTAAACGCTAAAACGAAAATAAATCCTAGTGCAAACAATCAAATAAGGTTAGATATATAGAGGTGAGCACATCTCATTTTCCATCAACTTCAAAATGGTTGTAAGGAGCCTCAGGTGCTCATTCCTTCTGGGTGGACTTGTGCCATAAAGATCCGGAAATTAAAAATTAGTCTCAAAGCGATTCGAACTCAAAAGCTCTCAGTTCGAAAACCAAGCGCTTTACCACTCAGCCACCGTGCTTCCTACGCTGTCAATTTTAATTCTTTTTAATCTTTATTAGTAAAATGTTTGTCAAATGTTTTACATGTTTTGGATGTTCCTTCAGAGTTGAAGATAATTTACTTCCTAGTCTTAACCTGCCGCAGGACGACGGGGAATAGGAACGGGCAAGGTTTGAACCCGGGACCATCGACAAGTCTGAAGAACAGTCCAGCCCGCAAACCGCACGAACACACTAGAAGACAGACATATACCAAAAGACAGATTTATTAAATACACAGATAAACATAAGAACAGATTGAATCTATGTAAGTAATTCTCAATGGGTCATATTTATAATAGATTTTTTTGGCATGACTTTATAAAAGAAATTGTTAAAGTGATGAATATAGCGACATATTTAACATTATGCACAAAAAACATTTATATCATCTAAATACTATTTTGCAAGAATTAAATCAAGTTAAAACTGAAGCAATATAGATCCTGTCTTGTTTGATAGAGAAAGTAATATACAAGAATGACTCCATTTTATTGACAGAAAGTGTACACATTTTATTGACAGAAAGTGTACACATTTTATTAGCCATCAAATTATGGGACACTAGAATAAAACAAAGCAAACTATAGTCTACCCAACATATGTCTAGTATATAAACCTGTAAAAAAAATCATAGTGAAAAATAAATTGGGTAAATAAGATTTTCATCAATCATCTGATATGGCATGTAAGCTTCACTATAAAATGTAATTTTTTCATATAATACTAATATTAATATTTTTGTGTAAAAGTCATTGTTTAACTACACAGCAAACACAAAAAAATACAAACTGTTTATGTATATTAAATTAAAAAAAAGAAAAAGGCAAGCATAGTATAATACATAGAAACTTATTTGTAAATCACACAATTACAGAAATTACTAATGTACCACAGTTCAAAAGCTCTCGTTTAATCTGCCATAATGACATAATCTGATCTTGCATGTCTCCTCTGTAATATGTGGATTCCCACCAAGACAATAACGGAAAATGAAACCAAAAAACTTAATGAGACCAACAACATAATGTGCACAGCTAAATACAAAGCCTTTTCATTTTCTTTTAAGCCTTTAAAATAGTTTGGATTTGTCGCTTGTTGTACTTGCACTATACAGAAAGAAGAAGACAAATAAAAAACATTTTATATGTTTTGTTTAAAGACTGAAAATAGGTACAACTGTGCCAAAAGTAATAAATTGTACAGAGAAACATCTTCACATAAAATGAGTTAGAGATTGTAACAGGTTTTTTGTGATGTTTGTGTATAAGATTTATACAAAATAAAAAATGACCTTAGTGACATGTAGGGATTGACATACTACCTGGCTGGACTATGAGTGTTATTAAGCAAGGTTTGTGAGAATCTGGTTGCTTATATTTGAATGAGTGAAATGTTATGAACCTCTAGACATAGAATCTATACAAAAGGATGCTAGTTATAATTGTAAAAAGTTTCTTGCTGTAGCTTAATGAGTGAGTAAACAAACAAGAACATATGCCAAAGATTTCTAGACAACCAACAACTTGCCTCTTGGTATGCCAGCCCAACCCTTCATTTCACCCTAATCTTAAACACCAATAGATTTATAGAATTTTATCCAGTGCATGCTCTGATAGATAGGTATATAAGCTAATGTGTGTGTGTGTATTCTTAGTAACTTACGAATACATTTGTTAAAAAAAAAACAGTCCAGTTTTCTCTATTCATGCTTATAGAGTATTGCTTAAGTTGAGATATATCTTCTGAAAGATTTATAGTACTTACAGGTCAGGAGTCTGTAAACTCTGCCGAGAGATGTCCTTAACTTTATTAGCGTTCGTTTTTTTAATGCAATACATGAAGACCAGCACAAGTAGACAGCAGACAACAGACAAGGGAATACCAATGGTCAGTCCCAGGGTTAGGCTTGTTTTGTCTGTTTCACTTGCGTCTAAAAATATATTTTAATATAGAGTAAACTAAAAAAGGATTTCAATTCTGACAGCCTTTTCTAATTTACAATGCCAGTATCTTACTAGTGAAGTACATAACAAGGGTATTTTTAAAAACATTAGTTTTTTTGTAATCATATTTTATGCATATAAATTGAATTATAAAATTTTAAGCAAGAAATTTGATTATTGTTAATATTTCTACATTTGATTAGAATTTCTCTTAGTTAGGTTTGTGTGCATGTGTCGGATTGTACTGTTTCTTAATCTGAATGTTTAACCATTTTACTACAAACTATGATGCATACATATTTCAAAGATACAAAGGCAACACTAGGGACCACATTTTTAATGAGAAATAAAATTAAAAAGAGAGTTTGTGTTATCACACAAGCTCAGAGGCAGCCCCTATCGAATTCCCCAATGGATTAGGAATATTCAAGCCATAGTCTTGTTTTCATCGTTTAAAGTTGTCTTATAAAATCCTTTGCCATCAATTTTCACTTAAAAGCAAACAAGACAAAACATCGTAAATGATAAGACTCTTATAATTCAAGAAAAAGAATTTGAAATAGAGCTCCCTTAACAGTATAGCTGCGTTAGCTGATCACCTAAGAAGAGCATGGAACCTCCTAGATAGGTACCTCTCCCCAGCAGACAGACCACAAAAACTAATAATGGCTTGTCCCCTCTCAGGGGCCCCTAAAAAGGATGAAATAGAATGATGAAAAAAAAGGGATTGCACTGACTGATTGCAGTGATCCTCTGATACATCTCGCTAAAGGGAACTAACTTCTAGACCATACAGATGTCAAATAGGACATCTTTCTGATCTTTAGAATTTGTTAGCAAGTTATTGCTACACTGTTCTTTACCAAAAAATTTAACAGACCTGACAGCATATATTAAACAAAGAATAGCTCTATGTAACTGTAAATCTATCAATAGAACAAGAAGACATACTGCATTCAAAAGCTTCAGTTAGTAGGTAGCTATTAAGCTGTTAGTGTGGTCCCTTTTTCATTATATTTAATTCACTATCTTTTCTCATAACAAATTTGGTCCCTTATGCTGCCTTTAAATATTTAATACGTTTGCATCGTGTAATTGTTTCAGCATCTAGTTTGATATTTGCATTGATTGTAGGCTAGCAAATGAACTTACCTGTGAGAACCTTTTGACTGTAATAGAAATGTTGAAAAATAGTTTGTACAGTACATAAAAATGGAAGAGTTAACACTAATGATGATGGAATTCAAAATGTTTTTCTGGTCAAATATCATTTGCATCTTTATATTTATTAGGGCAGCATAAAAACATAACAAATGCAACACCAATTTTAATTAAATTAGTAAAAAGCAAACAAAACTACATTTGATGCACATAGTATTATTTTTTCAAATATTGAACTATGCTTGTAGAACTTTAATCAAGAAATAAATTACTGCCTACATTAATGGTATCACAGGGATAAGTCTTCATGTATTTTTTTTTTTCATAGATGAGATCATCTCATTTTTTAGCATTGATCTAACTTTTCAAATAACTCTTTAAAATGTTGTTATTTTGCTCTCAGAATTGTTTTGTTAGATTCAATTGAAAAGTGAAACAAAATTTCTATACATGTCTAAAGCAAATGAAAACATTTTTTTTTGTAGTTGTTATTGGGTTATTCTAAAGGAAATAATGTCTTGCTTTTATTGGTTCCCAATGATCCTAAAATGTAAAGAGACATTGATATATAACACAAGGGTTTTGCAGTTATAACTCTATTAATCAAGACCATCTAGTGGTTAAGTGTAAAAAAAATGACTGCATTTAAATGCTTAACTTTACCGGCAGATTGCAGTATTATTATCAAGTATACATTCTTCTGTGTCGAGACATGGACTCATTAGTTTCATGGCCTCACAAGTTGGAGCATTAACTGAAGAAATAGATCATTTAACATTTGAGCTTGTGTAGTAGAAGTAGGTAGTATTTTCTGATGAAATAGAGTTTGTTTGTTTGTAATTACAATTGATCAAGTTCTGCATATTTTTGAATGTTTGTCACCCAAGTTAAATATACAATAATTAATTACTATTTCATCAAAAACTTCATGTTCAAATTGTGGCTTAATAAGTAGATGCAAGGACTTGTATGTCAAATTCCTTGTTCAGAATATAGGAATTTCGGGTTTTTATTTGAGTTTATATGATAGTTTAAGTTCAATTACTTAATTGGCTTATTTTTTTAGTAACAAATTTTTGTGGAAAATAATTTTTTTCAATATACATTTTTTCTCTCAACATGATTTTAAGATACTTAATGACTTTCTGGATGAATGAGTGTATTCCACACCAAGACTGAAGGTAACAGAGTGAAAGATCACAATTATAAAAGTTAAAGCATGAGCAGAGTCCTATGAGCTCAAAGATAGCTGTGAAGTGCAAGCAACAATGTGAAAAGCCAATTACACTAAAGGTAGAGGTTGGGTCAGTCTTGTCTGGCTGTATTTTCTGCTTCGTGGCACAAAACACAGAAACTGAAGACTTGACATAATAAGAGGCTATTTTGTTTTTTTTAACTCATAGTTCTCTATTCAGCATTCCTTGAAGGAGTCTTTTGAGAATACCTTTATATCTCTTGTTTTGATTTCCTAAAGAATGCCTTCGATTTCACAGCCCACCCCCATAAAAGGTTGAATAGGAAATTGACTTTCAGTTTATATGACTAGCAATTCATTGTTGGGGTCAATTTTGCTAAGGCATTGATATTGTTTAGCTGTTGGCATTGTGGATTGTAGTTTGGTGTGTGGTCAAACCAAACATTGCATTTTTCTAAGACAGTGATATAATTCAGCAGTGAGAATTTTACATGCTACAAATAAAAATAAATTTTTAAAATTAGTTAGTTGAAAAATGTTTAGACCATAATGTTTGCTTAGGTCATGATATTACTTTAGTTGAAGAATATAATAACAATGACAATAAAATGATTGCCTTTTGTCCTGTTTTCTTACCTATAGCTCCATCGACAGACAGTTTGGTAATGAAAACAACTGTGTTGTCCAAAATAAAAGTTTGTGTTACAATTGTTTTCAAAACAGTTGTAAAAATTGAATCTACTTCAGCACTGATCTGAATAATTACATCTGTTATCAAACTGCCTTTCCTAAAGACAAAAAAAACATTAACAACGTTTTAGCTATCAACTAGCTTTGAAAGAAAAACATCCACTGAGTTGCTATTCAATTTCTTAGCTTTAGTTTATATTGTCAGGAAAATATCTCTTGTTTCTTAGTTCATTAAAAATCAAATAGAACTTTTTTTTTAAAGGCTTAAGAATGAATCTATGAAACAAACTAAAACTATTGGGTCCACCTCAAATTGGTTGCATTGACACGGAGAGCTGGCACCTTCTCCTCTTTCAGTTTCAGAGTCACCTGTTAGCAATGATGAAACAATCATAGCAATATTACTGTTTTAAACAATGTGATATGTATGTTGGTAAACTGATTGCACATTGGTTGCTATATAATGAAAGCATAGATAAAACAAGCAAATTTGAAAGTTTTTTTTTTAAAAAGAAAAGGC